TGTAACAACCTACCTAACCATCACCAATGCCACCACATGAATATTCTTTATTACATGGTGCATTCAATGAAGGCATCATAAAAAATCTATAAATGATGAGGAGAAAGACTTTCAAAGGGTTGGTCTTTTGGTTCCCATTGTATTTTTTTCGCTAGATTAATTTGAGACTTTCTTCTTCATTTTCAAAGTCTCTCAAGTTCTTAGAATATATCTCGGAAGCTCACTTATAGTACTCTGTGTTGTTGAGCTCAACACTATTCACGTTTAATATCTCATTGTAACTTACATATTAGAGCATTATTCTTCTTCTCTGTACTTTATACTATCATAATTCTTCTATCCTCTCTTTCTTAGCTTGTTCTACTCTATGAGGTTCAACTTTGGTTGTCCAACCAAGATTCTAATAAACTTCATCAACAAAACAAGTTGTGAATATGAGTTGCGCGACTAAATCACTCTAAAACTTTTGTCTGTTCAATTTCATTTTTTTTTTCTATTTCTTTCTCTATTGATCGCTCTTTGCCTCTTCATTGAGTAGTCCTGGAGAGCTGTGTACTCTCCATTTCTTTATTTTTCATGATCCTCTGACACATGTCTCTCCCTTGGTGCCTTTGTGTGATGAGTTATCACCATCAATTGCTAACAATTGAATTCAAAATGAAAAAATTCAAATCCAAACATGAGTATTCATGATAAAATATTTAACTAGAAATTTTCCAAAAAGATCCAACAATAAGGACAAATCTTAATAGCCCTCTTTAGTTTCTGCATTTACACGATAAGAAAAAGACATCTAACTATTTTTACCAAAAATAGTTTATTAAAGGAGATCACCAAAATTAGCTTAGTTGCTTAAAAAGATGAATTCTCAGTTGTCTCATTGCAAATAAGAAGAAATCTACTACTTGGATTTTAGACTCAAGAGCTTCATATCATATGAAAAGAAATAAAAAAATGTCTTCCACAATTACAATCTATGTCATCAGAATTATAACGCTCATATTACAAATGTGTCGCTATCAAATGTGATTGGACTAAGTTTCATCATTCTCCAAAAGTTACTCTTTGTTTCCATTGCTTGGCCTAGATTTAAACTTATCATTAATTAGCAAATTCACTCTATATAAAAATCGTGTTACTAATTTTTATCCAAGCTTTGTTACTTCTATGCCTTGAACTTAAAAAGGATTATCAGCAATGTAGATGCATATCTTATGAAGAATTATCGTCACTCCTAGGGCTGTGTATCCACCCAAAATCAAATTTAAATTTCAAATAATTCTAATAGTGATAATGATCTCAGATTTGGCACTATCACTTAGTACACCTAGATTTTAGTTACCTAAAAAATTTAATTTCTTCTCCTTTCACTAATAAAAATTCAACGAATTTTTAATGTGAAGAATGTTGTCTTGCTAAACACACTCGGAGTTAATATCTCAGTAAAACATAAAAACTTCCGCGTTCTTTTGTTTCAGTTCAAAATGATCAGTGGGCATGGTTTACATTGATCAATAATCATTTCCGTTTCATGTTGGCTTTCTTGCTGAAAGAAAAATGTGAAGGCAGACAAAACTTTTAAACATTTAAATATAAAATTCAAGTCTTAAAAATGTACTATGATGAAGAATACTTTGAATATGTCTTTGAAAATTATATCCTATATTAAGGGATTATTTACCAATTGAGTTGACACCAGTCAATAAATGGGATTGTTGAAAGAAAAACTAAGCATTTCTTAGTGGTGGCTAGATCACTGATTTTCTCTATAAATGTTTCTATTTGGAGAGAAGTTGCCCTCATAATTACATATCTCATTACTAGATATCAATCAAGTGTACATAAATTTTAAAAACCTTTTCAATGCTCCATTCATTTTCTAAGACAAACCATTTGTTCTCTTCTTCCAAAATTTTTTTGGTTGTTGGCCATTCATTTACATTTATTCTCATGTTTCGAGTAATTTAGCTTTTAAATCTATCAGTGGTACTTTGATTGGGTGCTCTATAAATTAAAATTTGTACAAATTTTATTCATTGATCACTAAGAAAAGCTATTCCTTAATTACTTGAACAATTTAAAATTTTGTGGGCTTAACATTCTTTGAACATCAACTTTATTATTGCCGCAAACCTTAAATTCAAGGGAGAGAATTCCCAGATAAGAATCTCATATTTAATATTTATTTTATCATTTATCATTATCTTTCATCAAATCTATGGACAAAAAGTATTTCTTATTGTCCCTCCTCAATCAACCTACTGAAGCATTCCCGGAATCACACACCGCCTTATCAACTTATCAGTGGACTCAACCTCTGGAAATTTAGCTTTATGTATATGCTAAGAGGAAAAAGAAAAGCAAGAATAGGAGCAATTAATATATCTCTAACAACCCAAAAGCTTGCTTCTATTCATGGAGTAAAGAAGTGCAAACTTTTGAATATGAATCCATATCTGATTATATTGATATTCATTGCTCCCTTGCCATAAAGAAACATATGAGTTCATGCACAAAACACTCAATCTATGATTTAATGACTTAAAAAGGCTTTCATTTAAATTACTTGTTTTTACCACTAACTAATAAATGTAGTTTCCAAATAATACTTGTGAAGCTCTCTAAACTCGTGTTGAAAACTGTAATGGTAGAAATTCAGCCTAGGCTTTCACTTTTGCCACCAATCTTAATAAAAATTGTTTTCGAATGATACTCATGAAGCTCTCAAAACTCTAGAGTTGTAAACGGTAATGGAAGAAATTCTGCCTTTAAAAAAGAATGTTATGTGGGAAATATTTGAACTTTCTTTAGGAAATCAATTGGATATAAAGACAGTGTTGCAATTAAATAAAAAATAGATTTGAGCGTGGATAAATTCAAAACATGATTTGTTGCGAAAAGACAAACAACCATAATTTATAAACTATCATAACTTTTTTCTCTAATTGCCAGACCATAAAATTCGAGTTTTGCTTTCATGTGTTAAATTTGGACTGTCCTTGATATTTTATAGATACTTTGAGGAAATATTCATGGAAATCCCATTTTGATTGGAAAATTATAGAATCATCAGTAAGACATATAGGGTAAAAAAATCTCTATATAGTTTTAGGCTTTTAAACTGAACTTTTATAGGGTTTATGTGATCCTGAGTTTTATTTCTAAGTTGGCTAATTTAGGGTCACAGTTGATCTACTTAGTGGTGGTTCCCGAGGTTTAAGTTGTTGAATTCAATTTCATCTTGATGAATTTAATTTCATCATGATGAATTTGGCAATTCTACGAATATATTGAATGTTAGTCTGCTCAACGTCTAACTATTCACACTCTTTATCAAAAGCTTACCTAAAGGAGACAACGTGAATTTTATCCTGTGTGTGTGTCTATATATATATATATATTAGACAAGTAACTTTGAGAACAACATTCTGATCATATTCGACAGTCTTACAACGAGAATATGTGGTGATTTTGAAAATCTAAAATACTCGCTATGAAATTGGCATTATCAAAATATGGTATTTCTATTTTCCAAATGAAGAAGTATAATTCTGAGCTACTTCAAGAAATAGAAATGCTTAAATATAAGCTTATAAAAACTCTAATGAATCCAATAAATAAAAAAAAAAGAGTATCATCACCATTAATAGCATTCCCATTGATAAAAGTACGCATTGCACCCCATGGGAAAACTCATCTATCTCTATCTTATTCATCCTAACAGGGTTCCTTGTTAGAGTTGTAAGCCATTACCTAAACGACCCTACTGAAGACTACATGGAAGTTAACTTCATTTTAAGTTTCCTCTAAATGACAGCTAAAAAAATTCCGCCATATAAAATGTCATTCAATTATAAATTTTATTTTTTTACATATATTGAGTGGGTTAAAAATTCATCAAATGGAAGATCTAACTTCGGTTATTTTATATATGCTTGTAGAACTTATTTACACCAGGGAACAATAAATAATTTATGGCCTCAAGAAATAGTGTTGAAGCTAAATATAGATTACTAACACTTAGTATTTGCAAAAATGTAATTTATATAATTGCTAGAAAAACTAATCTTTCAAGTGAAAAGAATTTTAAAAATATATTGTGACAACATGGTTGTCATCATAATTGCAAAAATCCATGTCCACCATGTATATTGAGGTAAATTGATATTTCATCTCAGAAAAAAAAAATGAAAATGGACAAGCCCATCTAAATTATGTTCTTTACTCAAATAGGAGATATTCTCATCAAAATATTTAACTATAATATTATCTATTATATATGATTATAAATTTAGTTGTTTAGGCATATGCATGAACATATGTGAGCGCGCTATACATTGTACTAATTTTTTAGGAATTATAGAATACTATTTTTAATGACTTCTGGAAGTGAGACTTTTGAAGCATACAAATTGGGGGAGGAAATCACTTTCACTTCACTTGCCAGTCAAATAATCAATGCAATTCACTTTCCACTTGTTACATGTATAGCTAATTGGTGGCTTGCACTTTATTTCTATTTTGATTTGAGAACCAACTATTACCCATCAAGTTCATTTTGAGTTTTATCCAAGTCAAAATTCAAAATTGACGACTCGTATAGATTCATGTGTAAATGTTTAGTTCCACCAATGTATTAATTTAAATATAAATACATGTACTAATACCTGTGTATGCATTAATGCATGCATTCACAATCAATCTTGAGCTAACTTAGTTCAATTTAAACTCGTCTCAATTCAAGCTGAACCATTAACTTCGATTTGAGCTGAACCCAAAACCAAAATTTCTTTAATTATAACCGAGTGGGTTTTGATTTTCGTATCAAATTTCTGTCCTAGTACTCAAAGAGGTCTAGTGATGAATGTTTCTTATAATATGACATAAACCTTCGTTATTTCATTCGAATAATCATTTGCATCATATAGGTTTGGTGCATCCTATTCGGCTATTGTTTAGTCTAGATTAATCTGACCTGATTTTATGGTTGATGTACCCAGTTTGGGCGGATGCGGATACCTGGTTTGAGAGGCAGCAGCAGGAGCAAGAGATGCAGCGTTTGCAGGCAGAACAACGGGCAGCAATGCAAGCTGCAGAGGACTTGCACAGAAAGAAATTGGCTGAAGAGCGACAAGGGGAGAAGGAAGATGATGCCGAACTGAAATCTGATCCTATGGCTGTGGCTGAAGCAGAGGCTCTTAAACAAACTACCTAAGCTATTTTGGTATTAAGGAAAGAAGAGAAACGCATTGCTCAGAAATTATATCAAACTTAACAATGGAAATTTGATTTTTTTTTTCTTGAATCTTCTGTGTGTTCTGCTGAACTTTATAGCTGAGTTGCACTTAATTGTCTGATTCTATTTATTGTCTATCTTGTAATTTTAGCTCGGTTGTTTAGTTTGAGTTTAATTTGTATGAACTTCCAATGAAATTATAAGATAGTTGATACAACTTCAACAAATTTTCATCATTTGTCACAGATCTCGAGGCGTTGCACGTATCTTGAGATAACTTTATAAGCAAGAAATATTCAAACATTAATAAAAAGTCACTCAGCTTTGATTTCAGCAAACATACAGTCGCACTGGCAGGTTCAAGGAGACTGACCCTATGATATCAAGATTAGTTCAATCAAAGTCAAATCAAGTCCAAATTAAGTCATTAAATCAGTCTTGGAAGTTTTCCATGTATATTTGTAAGGTCAAATGAATATTAAATCTAGCAAACAAATAGTTGACTTGAGCGTCTCGACAAGACAAATCTAGTGAGCTCAACTTTGCTCAATTCTAACACTGTTAAAATATTCAAATATTCATCAAAAGTTGTTTGATCGAAAGAAACTTTTTAGATCGTCTAATCAAAATGATTTATATTTCTGCATTAATTTTGGGGGGGGGGGGACTTGAGATTTGAGGAAGAGCTTGAATCTTTGAGGAACTTAAGTCCAGTACCGTCGTCGACCATCGTCGATCGTCGTTGATCACCATTGACCTCTTTCGACCACCGCCGACCATTATCGACTTTTGTTAATTGTCATCGACCGTCGTTGGCTACTACCGACCTTCGTTGATCACCTTCAATCATCATCGGCCATTGTCGACTGTCGTCGATCATTGCAAACCACAGTCGAACACCATCGATTGAACGCATCCAATCGCTATCAACTGCCACCCGTTCCTAACAACGAATTCATCAGCACACCGACATTGTAACTTGGGAAATCTAGTATGTTTTTCTCGCCCTTGGGACAATTGGTTGCAACTGTAACCATTTTTTTATGGTGAACTCTTCAGCTGTGTCAAATCCGTGATTTTTCCCTTTTTGGGTTTTTCGCGTAAAACTTCTAGTGTCATTATTAGTTGTTTTTTCTCTTCTAAGTGTGTGTCGAATATTGGTACCACACTAAAATGATAATCTGTTACTCTATCATAACAAATTTTCTAGCATGCATCTGTTTGGCGCTTTCTGTGGGAAACCGTAATCCCATCATCGAATTACTTAGGCTTACTACATGGCCACCAAATTCAATAATCATGACAACAGAGCATCCCACTTAAACACATATCGTTACCTGGAGCTGTCACGGAGCCAAGGGCATCATACGTCTTCATCTTCCTGCTCTAGAAGACGTTATCCTGCCAACGACAACATATCGGGTCCTTCTCCAGAAGACTGAATGCGTAGAATGGGGGAGTCTCAACTAGGGGTCCTACAGCTCTCACGTAGGGCTCAATAGTCACTACCAACACAGTTGAATGAAATTCGTTTACCATTAACTCAACGATCTACTGGAAATTTGTTGAGGGCTCAATGTGCCGCTCAAAAATACTAGTACTAGACCCCTCCCTGGAGGGAACATTTTCCCTGCCAGGATGGGATCCCGAACTCATATACACCGTAAGTTTCACTCATTCATCTTGTGCAACATATTTGGCACCGCCATGCCAGCCATTCCATATGATATCATTCATAATGAGCTACAACTTTCGGAGAAAGCTCCCCTTGGAGAAAAAAGGATCACTTTCCTAGTCACAGCAACTTTCATGAATCTTTTCCCTTAGCGAATGTGGTCCTCCAACACCCTATCCCAACAGGCTTCAATCTTCCGAACATCAACACCTACGAAGGGATAATTGACCCCTATGAGCATAGTAATCACTACCGAACCATCATGCACATTCAACATGCCTCTGATGAGCTTCTGTGTCGAGCGTTCCCAACCACTCTTAAGGGCAAACTCGCATCTGGTTATACTCTATGTTAGGGGGCACTGTAAACACCTTTAATAAGCTTGCTAGACTATTCGCATAACAGTTCATGACGTACCGACGAATCATCAAGGATTTGTCCCATCTATGGGGAATTCGTCATATTGAAGGAGACTCGCTCAAGGACTACTTCCACAAGTTCTCTGTTGAAACTCTTCATATTCCGGGAGTAGATCCGGAGTTGATAAGAGGAGACTTCCTTGGGGCGCTCCGCCCATGACTCTTTTGCTCATCACTGATGTGGGAGATGGCCCGCTCTTACGCCGACCTTGTCCACCGTGTTGAGGCCCAAATCACTACAAACGATGCCATCAATACGCATAAGAAGAAATTCTGAGGAAAGCACAAAAATAATATCAGAGATAATAATAAATCATCACAACGGAGAAAATCCAATCAATAGTGGAATCATGACCTTCCTTCTCGACCTAAAATTAATGAAGCGAATATCGACCCAAAAAAGAATATACACCACTAAACACGTCGCGTGTTAATGTCCTATTGGCCATCAAAGATGAGGAAACCATTAAGTGGCCTCACCCTCTAAAACCCAACTCGAGGAATCAAGAACAATACTATTGTTTGCATCGGAGCCCTGCCCACATCTCTGAGGCATGTAAGCAGCTCAAGGAGGAGATTGAAAGGTTGATTCGACAGGGATATCTTAGTCAATTTCTGCAAAATAAATTAGTTGGAGTCGATAACGCTCAAAGTAGAGGGGAAACAGGCATAAAAGCAAGAACATGGGAGTCACCAAATGGTGGGTGAAATTTAGACGATTGCTAGAGGTCCATTGCTAACTGATCAACTCCTTATCACTACACCTAAAGAACCAACGTAGAAGAAATTGTGCTTCGAGCCTATCACTTTTGATGATTCTGACCCGGAAAGAGTCGAAGTCCTCCACCAAGATCCTCTTATTGACGAAAAAGCTACTTCCTTCCTAACAGATAAGGGTTTAGACTGTTATCAGGTTATGTCGTTCGGGTTGAAGAATGCTGATGCAACCTATCAATGCCTCATGAAAAAGGTCTTCAAAGACTTTCTTGGGCATTCGATGAAGATGTACATTGATGATATGTTGGTAAAAAGCCTGGAAGCATCTCAACGCATTTCTCATCTAGAGTGTTTCTGACTTCTTCATCAGTACGACATGCACTTCAACCCAACTAAGTGTGCCTTTGGAGTCACATCAGAAAAGTTTATCGGATTCATGGTTATTCATCGTGGAATTTAGGTGAACTCATAAAAGATCAAGACACTGAGAGACATGGAGCCTCAAAAGAACATCAAGGAGGTTCAATGTTTGAACAATTGTATAGCTGCCATATCTCGCTTCTTGGCTCGTTATGAGCTTTAGTATTTGTCGTTCTTTAAGATACTAAGAGGTGCTAAAAATTTTGGTTTTCAGAGGACAGATGACTGTCAACCCACTTTCGAGCAACTCAAGGCATGCCTGGCTTTGCCACCCTTCTTTCAAAGCCTATCCAAAGGGAGATGCTATATATCTACTTGGCTATCTCACCTCACATGATAAGCTCTATCCTAGTCAGGGTGGAGAGCTCAGTTGAAAAGCCAGTCTATTATGTCAACAAAATTCTCTCTGACATAGAAAGTCACTACTCGTTGGCGAACAAGACTGCATTGGCTTAGTATTTTCAGCAAGGAGACTTCGTTCGTACTTCCAGGCCCACACTATCTGCGTCTAGACACAACTCTTTTTGAAGGGCATCCTACAAAAACTAGAAACATCAAGAAGATTAGTTAAATGGTCAGTAGAATTGAGAGAATTTAACATATGTTATCTACCATGACCAAACATCTAATCACCCAACTTTGTGGTAGAATGTACAATACCTTCCTCTGATGAGCTATATAGATATATGTATGTATACATACATATATCTATACATACATATATACATACATACATACATATATCTATATACATACATACATACATATATATGTGTGTGTGTGTGTGTGTGTGTGTGTGTGTGTGTGTGTGTGTGTGTGTGTGTGTGTGTGTGTGTGTGTGTGTGTGTGTGTGTGTGTGTGTGTGTGTGTGTGTGTGTGTGTGTGTGTGTGTGTGTAGATATATATATGTATGTGTGTGGGTGTGTGTATACAGTAGAGCCATCCAACATCACATCAATTACAGAAACATAAACAATATTGTCAGGGGGGTCCACATGGGCAATTAAATTAGACACCAAATCTTGTCTTATGGTAATTTCCTCCACAAGTGGAGCAGATATGTCCAGAGCAGTGGGGTTATACCCATCATTATTTACTTGAACTTTAGATTTCAAATTATGATGAAGCTTGTGACATTTATCAAGGGTATGCCCAAACATAGTACAATTGGTACAATAAAGAGGTCTATATTCCATGACGATTTGTTGTCAATATCCATTATGAGTTGTGCCCAACAAACTTCAGTAATATCAGGTAAAGTAATATCCCTTTCCATAAGTATTCTGGCACAGAATATTTGGTCAGATTGAAAGTGCGTAAATCTAGCTTCATAGGGTCCCCAAGTATTGACCCCAATAGAGTAGAGAACACGATGGTTAAAAAACTGCAGCTTGAGCCCAGGTAGACTAAACCATACGGGTACAGTAGGAGATTCATGATTACGGTCAAAATCAAAGGACCACTTGAGTAACTTCTTTGACTTGCCTGCAATATTAAGATATTTTTTTGAGAAAATCCGGGTGTAGTCATCAGTCACGGTTAATTGAATCAACACATGTCTCCCATCAATGAATAGTAGTTTGTTATCATCAAAACACTTTCTGATAAATTTCATAGGTGGGTGCCCACACTGAAGTTTCCAATAAGAGTGAACTTGAATTTCTTAATCAGGGTTAAAATTTCTAAGTCAGAGAAAAAGAGCGCTGCCTTCCCACCTTTCCTACTTGACTTCTTAACAAAAGGGTAATCGTTTGTACCTTCACGAGAGTCCTTATAGCTTGAGGCGAAGACAACAGTTGACTCCACCTGAGGATTACCCACCACGTGGGCAAAGAAGGCTTTGTCATGTTCAATAGAAGGAGGGAACAACATCAGAGCAAGGAAAACCACCTGCTAGAAGATCCCGATATAATTGCGGCGAGGTGCGACAGAATGCGAAGCTGTCGGCGTCTCTTGCTGCAAAGGCCCAAAATCTTGGAAGAAGGGAGAAGCGAACGTGCAGATATATGCAGTTGTCGACGTCGAGACAAAAGATACACAGTAACGACGTTGACACATGCTGCTGTCAGCTTCAAAACAGATGAAACACAATAATGAGGCGAGCCGATGAAGCAGAGGAAGTGAGAAGCGAAAGTGGAGAGACGACGAAACAGAGGCGATGTGCGAGCCCTCTTCTTTGAGCGACTGAATCAAAAGAGACAGAAATCGCCATTCGAATCCCTAACAGAGCTCTCGACCGCCATATATATATATATATATAGAAAAAGAAATCGGTATTTGGCAAAGACCCAAATACTAATTTCCCATGTGTTAGGCCCCATGACGAGAGCACGTGCCATGTGCTGATTATTCGAGACCCCGCGCCACGGGAGATCGAATCCTTGACCTGAGGGGACTTACAGTGACCCTGTCACCAAAAAACAAGACTTAGGCGCGCGCGCACTGACAAATATATATATATAT